AAGAATTAAATTACACATAAAAAAGCAGACGTATGTGAAGTTATTTCTGTACCTTTTCATGTATTTCCTGTGTGGACTGGGCATCGCAGAAAGCCACGGTGGCCAGATCTTTGAGGATGGGCATCTCCACGGTGCAGTCGCGCCCGTCCAGCAACGCCACCAGGGGGCGTGGGTGCATAGGCCCATTCATAATCTGGGGCCGAATACCTGCAGAGAGAAGGGAGAGAGAGAAAAGAGGGAGTTAATTATTTATGTCTGGCACACACAGTCAAGTGAGCTGCAGAAGAAAGCAGTAAAATGTAGGAAATGCACCCAGCAGCAGGAAGTGTTTACACAGGCTGGGACTGTGTGTTTTTGCTTGTGTGATAGGCTAAATCAGTGGCGCACACACACACACACACACACACACACACAGAGTTCTCTACTTTAAACCACTATTATCATCTCTCTTACCTGGCAACACTCGTCGATATCACACACACAGATACACAACGCTGATGATACAACTACCCCCTCTCTTGCCGTTATGCACACTGTTACCAGGCAACAGGTCCTTTAACCCCATGAGGTCATCACCTCCATTATCCTATCACCGTACCGAAGCCAGCAGGCCATCAGTGTGTGCCCCCAGTGTGTGTTTGCCCAGTTTACATCCTTAACAGAACCAGCCTCGTTCTTGATTTTAACTTAGCAGGTATTCGATAATCAAATTCAAACTTGTGGTCATCTCCAGTTTTTTCTGGCTTTCTATCTTTATCCTCGCCTTGTCGAGTTGTGATACAGTTGCCCTTCAGGGAGAAGAGTGGCACAAACTGCTGGAAGCTAGAAATGTACCAGCATTGATGAACTGAGCGAGCGTCTCACTAGACTCCTTCAAAGACCGACTGAATCAGTCGACTCTGCCAGAATGTACCAAATAACTCACTTTTCCTAAAATCAGTGTGATGTAAAATAGTGTAATATTGAGGGAAGAAAAATCTGACAGTGTGGACACGAATTCTGCTAAAAAAAAAAAGAGGGAAAAAAGAGGGAGAAGAAAAAGGAGAAGGGGGGGGGGGGTCCACACACCACCACTCTCTGGCTCCCTGCTGCCTGTTGTCATGGTGATTAGAGGATTTGGGCAGGATTATGAAATATTTTATTTAGTGACATCTGCGCTGCTGGAGAGGACATCCAAGCCTGCTCGCTCTATGTCTGTCTCTCTTACTCCTACAGTTTTGGGAAGGACAGTGTTTGTGACCTACACAACTACAACATGCTAACATATGCACTTTAAACAGATCAGATGCGTATAATGGAAATAAAAATAAAAGAAGTGCGTGCAAATGTAGCAGTGTTTGACTTATCAGGGCTTCAATTCTGCACCACGGGGTTCGTTTTTCTGCTCTGCACAGTTGATCAAAAAGGTTGCACTGATCAAAGTTTTAAGAAGATGGTATATTTTCTGGTACAAGTATACCAATTTAAAGGCCCATACAAAAACTATTTTTTTCAATTAGCTTGTTACTCTAAAGGCAAATGTTTCTGTGAAAACAGTTTTGGACATTTTACAAGAGGTTTTTGTATTTCTGCGCTCCTAGGCGGGGTTCAGTTGTAAAAAAAAAAATTTTAAGGCACATATTTCCATGCACCGATCAAATTTAAGCAAAATGTGAATCTAAATTTGATGCTGGTTGTTGCGTTTGTTGGCTTATGTTGCCAGGCCACTGTCAATAAAAATTCAATCAGAACACACCCACGCAGTCCAGATGAAGCCGATTAGTGAAAGTTAGAGCGCTAAACTCTTTATAAATAAAAGCCAATGATGACATTTTTCCAAACTGTAACTGTGAGTGTTGCTTATATGAATACTAATAATGAATAAAAGACTACCTGCACTAGAAATTAAAACAGGATTAATTAAAAAAAGAGCTCAGCAGTGTGTCATTAATATCACAGCTTTGACAAACTGACATACATACTGTATTTTTTGGTGTTAATTCTCCTAGTAACAGGTGGAGTCAAACCACAGAGCAACGTGAACCACATTCAGACATCTCAGAGATGTCTCACTGAGGTGTGTATTAAAAGATCTCTACAAGCAGAGGTGACATGTAGGAGAAGAGGTCATCACTCGAGGTATTAATATGGGTGTAATAAAATATCTAATAACATCCTATCACAATATTTTGTTTTGTGATTGATTCTCAAAACACTAAATTGATTTTTGTGTTCAAACCTCCAACCGCTAGATAGCAGTGTTGTAAACGTAAACTGAGGGCTATGGTGTTACATATATATTGAATCTTAACCCCCTATATTGCCAGATTCTTGCCAATATACAGCCACTGGGTATTAAAGGACCAGTGTGGAGGATTCAGGGGTGAAGTTGCAGATTGCAACCATTTGAATACAGCTCAGCCTTCCAAGCGCTATGGAGAAACTACAGTGGCTGTGGAAAACATGAAAGGCCCTAACCAGAGTCAGTGTTTGCTCTGTCCGTTCTGGGCTACTGTAGGAACATGGCGGTTTAATGTGGCGCCCTCCGCGGAAGAGGACCTGCTCCCTCTGTAGATAAAAATGGCTCTAAAGATGAAGAACTAGGAAAACAGGGGGGCAGTGATGTGAGAGGGAAAACAATGTTGTTATCTATGCTAACAACATCTAAGCTATGTTAGGGTTATCTCTGCTTGGCTTTGAGACCTGACATTTTTAACAGACCAACCTGCGTTACAAACTATAGCGTGGAGTTTAAAAGAAAAGAGTATTTAGGAGGCAGGGTAGTTCTAATGAAAGAAGCTACCGAGTTGCAGTTTGGGAAATGAAGTGTACAAGTAGAGTTAGACTAGACACTAACAATCAGGATATCTTGGCCAGGTACGGTTTAAATTTTTGTGCGAGTTCCCCAATTTAAAAATACCAAATCGCTGGAGTGTCCCTTTAACCTGCACACACCGTCAGATCACTCCTGTCTGATCTACATTTGACAACAAATGATCACTGCTCTTCACATTTGGAGCACACTGTGAGCATTTTCGACCAGTGGAATAATTATTAGCTCTTAAATCACCATTCAAAACTTACTTTGATTTAACTGTGTTCTGTTAGTTATTACTGACCTCTCTGCTTTTATATTCTATGTTTCGCTTACTTTGTCTTCAGTGTTGATTTTATGAGGTGAGGGTTTTACAAGTGCTTTTCTGAGCCACTTTATAACTGTGTTTTATAAAATGCTCTAGAGATAAAGAGATTATTCTTTTTATTATATTTCATTACATTACAGCCATTAACAATATTATTATTGTTCAGCGTTCCTAATAAAAGCAGTGCTTCATGAAAGCCTAAATGGCATATTGGAAGAAAAGAACGATGAGAAAAGAATAAAAGGTACATGAAAGAAAAAGGTTAAGAGAAATAATGTGGAAGAAGTGACCTTGATCTTTCAGAGTATACGCTGAAAGCATGCATTATTCTCACAGGAGGGAGTCATTGTGTGTGTGTGTGTGTGTGTGTGTTAGCGAGAGGAGGGTGGGGACTGCTTGCCAAACACACCTGTGGCTCCACAGCTCTCCCTGCGCCTCCTCATCACACTCCTACAGAGTTCATTATCACAGCTCAGACTCAGCTGAGGAAGGAAATACTTCTATCATCCAACAATCACACACGAGGAAATGCACTGCCACTCCAACAGACAGGGCCTGGAGAACACGCTCTGAGATGAAAGGAGAGACAAACGCGCAGTTGCTTATTTGTACACACGTGGACGAGAAGAAGCTGGTGGAAAAAGCAGCGTCACTTGTAGGAAGTAGGTCAAGCGCTGCTGATTAATTATTTCCTGGTGGCTAATAGCCATTCTCCAGCCTAATAAGGCAGAACGTGGCACCGCATTTAACACATGATGCATCTGTGGATAATTAACACCTAACAAGGCTGTTAATGAGGGTCTTAATGATTCAGATACCTGGCTGGTGATTTGAAGGATCTTGTTGGTTTTGGATGGAAAGAACTTAATCTTCCCCTTCAGTCGCTCAGCCAATGAAGAAGAAAAAGCGGCGGTGTGTTTATTATGTGCAATCGTGTGTTTTGTTCATTTGAATGGAGTGAAGGTGAATGTGTGCTCGCTAAGAAACACACACTCTGTTGGACAGGTGTTGTTGACTGAGGCTCTGTAATGGCCTCTTGTCACCATCCCTCCAGGGATTGTCTGACACATCAAAGTTAATGAGTTTTCGGGGCTTTAATCTCTCTCCTCTCGTTGTCAGAAGTAAACTATGCTACATTTCACCGGCATTCTGAAGTTCTTAAACTAATCATCAAGTGACAGGCTTTAAGTGCACCAACAGTGCCAGGAGGGGCGGGTTATGTAGAAATAGGGCTGAGCAGACGGTGTATAGATGCACTCGTGTTCTCTGTGTGCCCGTCACTCTTTGATTTAATTTCACATAGACCACAAAAGCAAACATTTCTTCTTCTCTTCTTCTTGCTAAATCCACATGTAGCAGCTGGCTGTGCCCCGGCTCAGAAAAATATTCGGAATGTATTTGAAACACCTCCAAGATGCACATTTGACCACAACTGAACATCATTTTCCATCATTTGCCACTCTTCTAGCTAGATGAGCAGTATTACTCAGATAAAGTGAGGCTGCCTTTAAGGAAATTCCCTACACTGTAATAACTTGGACCTGCAGAGCTACCATGTGGTACTGTGTCAGTATTTGGTGTTGACCCAGCGGAGACTTTTCACCATTTACTCTCCTGTATGTATATGTATATGTATATGTATATGTGTGTGAGTATGTTTAGTTCTGATGATTATGGGATGACGATTTGGGTTATGTTATTATATTGGGTTATCATCCTGAATGTGTTATTGTACAATTATGACAAAAGAAACCACAACAGTCTTTGGTCTTCTTCTTCAGATTGCAAGTTATGGATTATTAACCTAGCAAAGGAACCTGAACACACACACACACACACACACACACACACACACACAGAAAGGCAGAGGGCACAAGGCAGCATTTGTAGGCCAGAGGACCAGCTACTAAAGGATAAAAAAATAAAAAACTGATCACATCTGGTTATTTTTCTTTACTTAACTCCTCTCTTGCCACGTTCTCTCTGTTTATATCCACCTCCCTCTCCCTGCCCCTCTGTTTCCCTTCCCGGTTGGGCCGGCACCAGCCCGGGGAGTTCTGGCAGCAGCTTTCCAGCCGCCCCGTC